TAGCCGAGACTCTCAACTAATGAAGAGGTTGGGTCTCATCCGAGATAGACTGCGAGGATGTTTTAATAACTTAAATGACACCGTACTAGGTTTAAATGCGAGATGCATCAATGATAAGTTGGTGTCTGAAAAAATATATGAACTTTTAAGAGTAAGAGGGACCCCTAGGACCCCGATGACCTTCATTTGGAAATCTTACATCCCTCCGAAGTTCTCTTTTAATGTATGGTTGGCTTTGAGGAACAGACTTCCTACACAGGACAGTCTCGGATACCTTTATATTGTTAATAGATGTGATCTGTGCAAGGGTGGATTGGAAACAATTCCACACCTCTTTTTTTGTTGCCCTTTTGCGTGCAGAGTTTGGGACAAAATTAGGGCATGGTTCGGATTTGGGAATCAGATGAATACACTCCTTAGTGCAATAAAATGGATTTCTAAGAAACGCAAGGGATCAACGTTGAAGGCCAAGGCAGGACGACTTGCTTTTTGTGCGACGGTTTACCATATCTGGCAAGCAAGGAATAACGCAAGATTTATTGAAGGCATGAAGACTGAAGATGATGTGGTAGCTAAGATCAAGCATGTGGTGTATAAAATACTTTACAGTATTTACCCGCATGATCTGGTGAAGTTCTGAACTAGGATACCACGATATGGAGATTATGGATATCGTGATTTTTGATGTGGGTGTATGTACCTTGCGGCACCCCATTTTTATTTGGATTTTTTGTAGCCTCCGATAGGTGTGTGCAATCTGGCAGCACCGCTATGTTTTGATTATTTTGATGGGCCAAGTTTACTTGGTGATTTCCATAGATAAGATCGAAGAAAAACCTCTCTTCACCCCACATTATGTGGGGTTGGGGGGGGGGATTTTAGGAGATCTTAGCTATATGATGTAAAGTTTTTATGGGTGTTAATATATATTTACATTTCATCCAAAAAAAAGGAAAGATGCAAAACCAAGTTCCAGCTTTAACGTGTCACTTTTGCCAAAAAAAAAAAAAAGCTTTAACGTGTCACCGAAGAGAAAAACAAGAAAGCATGCATGAGATAAATTTTTCTTAAATAAATTTTTCTTTTTTACCTTTTCTTCATTTAGATTTGTCCTGTGGCACGGAAAGTCCTCTAAGGAAAATGTACAGAGAGTTTTGTTATAAAATACACTACACAATTTTTTATGTTAAAATAATAATAATAATAATAATAATAATGTTAATAATAATAATAATAAATAATTGATGTAAAGTAAATTTTATATTTTTGAATCATAAAAACGGTTTAGTTAATTACATTAACTAAAAAAATCAATTGATGTCCTTAATAGTCATTTAACAAGATATCAGCTGATTGTAAATAGCCGTTTAACCAAACACTATTTTACTAACTGCTAATACTATCAGTTAATCAAAACAGGCAACAGAATCCGCTATTATGAATCAGCCAACAAAATCGGCCAACAGCTAACAGCCAACAGCCAATTGCCAAACACCCCAATATCTTGCCACTCAACGTGTTTTAGACATATTTATCATGCTTATTAACAATACATTGGTTGCCAGTTTGAATTTTTTTTGTCTATTTATCACATAATACATTATTATAATTTGTTTAAGTAATTATATCATACATTAACATATTAAGTTGTTAAAGAATATAGATGAATTGAAATATAATGTGAAGATATATATATTTCAAGTTGTTAAAGAATAATTTTTGTCCCATGCATTGTACGGATAACATATATACTCGTATTGAATAAAAGTCCGTCCAGAATTCATGGAATTATTATCTGTATTCTGGTTTTCACTCGGATTGCCTAAGCCGACCCGAATAGTAATCGGCCTTGTTGTTGTTCACGGTTAATTAACTTCTTCTTTAACGAGTAACGATCAAATGACTACCGAAAAGCACACCACCTCCCTCCCAAATACCTTACGACGAGAGAAAAAGAAGGTATGGTTGGCTATTAAAAGGGAGATTTACCTTAACAGGAGAAAAACATGGCATTTCTCCCAAAATAGGATCAATTAATTTAAACATTCTTAAATAGAACTTTTTATGTGTGATTGGACAATAATACCCCCACTGCTGCCCTTGGAGTGCTGCCTGCTGTCTGCCGCCGACCACCTGCAGCCGCCGCTGCCGGAAAGTTTTCTAGAATTTTTCTTCTGCCAACATTTCTGCCGCCAGCCTCCGCCGGCCGCCGCCTCCGGAATCTGCCGCCACCACCACCATCAGACTGTCCCGTTACCAACGGACTGCCTTGATTGTGAAAGAGAACTAGGAGGGGCAATTAATTGCCGGAGTTTGCCGCCGCCGATCGCCTACCGGAGTGCTTCTGCCACCACGGACTGCCCCGTCACCGACGGACTGCCTTGGTTGTGCAAGGAAACTAGGGGAGCAATTATTTAGATCAATTAATTAATTAAATAAAATTAGGGGTAAAAAGGTAAGGTTAGGCTAACCGCAACCCTGTTCCGTCAATAAATCAAACTCCCCACTTATTTATACGTATCCAGTCTGTCAATTCATTTTTACTGCAATCCTGCACCGTCAATATATTCAGCCATCAAAATTTTTCATTAATTGAAGGCTTTCTTTTATTATTATAAATTATTTTTTGGTTAATATTTTTTTGCGAATAATTAAGATATTAAAAGACAAACATTTCGATGTAAAAATATATAAGTTCAGAGTTTAACTTTGTTATTGTTAATTTATACTCCCGTACATATTTTTGAAGAAAACTGAAAGATACTAAAAAAAATTATTTTTTATCATGAAACCTTAATTTTAGCACTTGAATCTACTTTTATTTTTTTAACTTTATATATATGATATTGATGTCATATGAAAGGTCATACAAAATTATGAAATTTGATATACTTTTTATAAAATTTGAATAGTTGGGGTTTTTAAATTTCCCAACTCTAGTGAAATGCCATGCGCCAGAAAGTACTGCAACAACTTCTCTTCCGTGAATAAGCTGCGTACGTAATAGCCACCCAATCAGTGCTATCCAACCAGTTTGGCACAAACAAATACATGGGGTTGCCCCAGATATTGGGGTGAAAGGATTAAAATTGGCTTTTCACCCTAGGGTGTGCGGACATTTTTAATGCTATTTAGAGAAAAATATGCATATAGTCCTGTTTTGGGAGAAAGATTGAGTTTGAACATTTTCTCTTACGAAGTATTGTTGGTGATTTTAGTGTCACCGGCCGTTTTGTGTAATTGGAAATGACATGAATGCCAATGGGAATTAGAACTATGATCTAATACAAGTTAGTAGGTGTGGAGTGCACACTTGTATATAAGAACTAGTTTAGTTCCAAAATGTCTACGTGGAACTCGACGTAGAACTCGAGGTATAACTTTCAGTAGACCAGCTCTGTGGTTCTAGATCTAGTTCTAGAACGGTTAAGCAGTTTCCAACAGTTTCCCAAAAACTGCTGCGGTTATTCTTAATCGTGTTACAACTGCCTAGGACGATGAATATGGATATATACCACCATATTTCGCACAGAGGAGGTAGAGGAAACATATCCAACATATCTTCATCACTTTGACACTCAAAATAAAGATAACAATCCATATACTCGACTAGTTTGGCTCTAGTTCTTGTGCCTAAGTTCTAGAGTGTTTTAAGGATTATCTAGATTGAATTTCTTGTAACCCAGGCATAGGGGAGAAATATCAATTCGGAAAGTGAATTTACGCGATCCTTAAGCAATCCAAGTACTCGATTATCACCCTCTACGTGATATACCCCAACAAGTATTACTTCCGTCTTAATGGACTTTGCACTAATTGAGTTAGGTGAGACATAATAATAATAATAGAAAGGGAAAGTTCCCGAAATAGGACTAAAACAGTTTGAAAATTCCAAAATAGAACTGTCATGTTTTTTATTCCCAAAATAGGAGTAATTACTGTCAAATTTGGAAAATACTGCCATATTAGAAGTCTAGTACTGCCAAATCATGACAGTAATTAGCCCTATTTTGGGAATAAAAACATGACAATCCTATTTTGGAATTTTCAAACCTTTTTAGTCCTATTTTGGATAATATCTCTGATAGAAATAGTAAAAAAAAAAAAACGTGTCATTGAAGATTGCCGAGACGAGAGAGAAATGATAGAACTGGGGACCCGTTGGATCCATTCTACTTGAGTACTATTTTCCAGCAGCTAGTTATTCTCCAGTAGGGGTGTGCACCGGTCCAAAACCGGACCGGACCGGACCGGAACCGGTTAGGACCGGAACCGGAATCATCATTTTCTATGGACCGAAGACCGGACCTGAATCTAACCGGTCCGGACCGGTCCAGACCTGAATTTTCCGGTCCGGTCCGGGTTTGACCCTAATTGACCCGGTTTTAAAAAAAGACATACGGAGTATTATCTTAGAGTGTTCTTTGCCGACCCCAAATTTTTTAGGAATAAGACTTGGATGTTGTTGTTTCAAACTATAATTTTATATGCGGATATGCTAAATAGACTAAATAATTGTTTAGCTCATTTATTAATTTTGGAATATAGTCTTCAAAACTATTCAATCGTAACAATTAGTATCCCACAATAATTAAAACTACAATCTTTTGTGTATTAAATTAGCAAAATTTATTGTGGGGTAATAAAAACTAAATTACGTCCAAAAATATACTACATATAAACTACATACATACCTGCAAATAAAGAAACAAATAAAAAGCGATTTGGAAAAATCAAACAACTATAAACTACGATCAATAAAAAACTTAGGACCTGCTACATAAAATAAAATTATAAACAACTTAGGAAATAATTATACACCAAATACACACTCCGTATATATTCGTTTATATAACAAAAGGCAAAAATAAGCCATAAACATAGTAGTAAGCCAAATATAAATTGACTAATGATTCAAAACGAAGTATATATTTTATGGAACAATAGGTTACCGGTCTATTCCGGTCCGGACCTGTTTTTTCCGGGTTTGACCCGGACCGGACCGGAAACCCGGAATCTTGAAAAACTAAGGACCGAAACCCGGACCGGTTAATACCGGTCCGGTCCGGACCGGGTCATTCCGGTCCGGTTCAGGTCTAAAATACGGTCCGACCCGGTTAATGCACAGCCCTATTCTCGAGTACCGGAGTTAAGTGATACTTACCTAGTTACCTTAGCTTCCGTCGCCTGAGAAGTTACTCCTCGTCATCTTCTTTGCAAAATGACTTCGTCACCAGGTTTCATCTGCGAAGACCTTCATCTATTTTCTTCTTATGGTCGGCACTCGACAAAAAATAGTGTTTGTTTTTAAAAACTCTGGTTTTTAGTACACTGTTTTAATTCTTCTGTACTTCATCGAACCTTCAGGTTGTGGAAGTCGATGTTAGCTAGGATGACATCGGAGGCCTTGAAAATGTTAAGAGAGAGTTTCAATAGGTAATGCCCTCAATTATTTTATGAATGTTTCTGAGCATGTAATGCCCTTATGTGATTCTGTTTTAGTTCATGGTCTAACCTTTTTTACTATCATTCACGTAGACTGCTCAATATCATGTGAAACACCCAAAGGAATTTGAGAATTTTGTTATATCACCTTCATATGGTGTTCTTTTTTATGGTCAACCAGTGTGGAAAACCACTGACGGCCAAGGCTATAACAAATGAGTGTCAAGCCAACTTCATCGTGAAGGGCCTGAACTGGTCACCATGTGGTTTTGGAGAGAGTGAGGCCGTTTTTGTGAAATTTTTTATAAGGCTTCTGCACCAGGTGTTCTCTTCTTTGAGAAATTTGACAATGTTGTTATATCACTTATGTACTTTGGATAAAAAAACTGAAAAGTAAATGAAGAATTAAAGATTAGAATGGGGAAACTCGTTAGCCTAGAACTTAAGAAGAATCAGAAAACAGAAACTTATTCTAATTAGAAAAGTTATAAACTGCCTCTAGAAAAACTTTAAGAAAAAATAATATATAAGAATATGTTTAAACTAAAGTGAGGTTTTTGTAAATAGGTGTGGAGAAGAGTAATTTTGAAAGGCTGCCATCTCAAAGTCTTAGAAGAGTATAAGAATTTTTAAGATTCAAAGAAGTGTGTCCTATGGTTATTTCGTATAAGCTCATAAGCTATATTTCAACATCTCAGCATTATGAAATTATTATACAAGATGTGTTGTGAATTTGAGTTTTTGCTTAGAAATTAATTTCTTATTGCATTGTTTTATCTATGTGACTATGTATTACTATATTCTTGCCGATTAATTACATGTATCATCTCAAAGTCTGATTAAGAAATTAATTTGCTATTGCATTGTTTTATCTATGTATTACTATATCCTTGCAGATTATATGTGTCATCTCAAAGTGTGCTGATCCATGATGCATTTGATTCCACCATTTGAAAAAAAGTTCTGCTTATCCATAGGTATAAATGGGAATATAAGAATGGTTAATTAACGAGATTAAAATACTCAAGAATCAACTAAAAGAAGTACAATAATTTTTAGTTATTGACAGCTTGTGGTAGGGCTCACTGTTTTTAAAACTCGTAGGATAAAGGGGTGGACTTTAATTTTCCTAAGCAGACTAATTGATATTGAGATGGAGATATATAGGAGTACATTATAAAAAGACATATGCAGACTAATTGATTAGAGTAGAGTTTTGGAAAAGGTGTTGAGAAGACATAAATTCATACCTGAACTTGATAATATGCAGATGTAAATTCACACACATTGAGACTGGATCTTAAAGAAGTTGGGTATACCTATGATTATGGGTGAGTTTTGGCTTCAGTCTCTTTTAGTTTTATTGTCTTCCAAGGATATGATGACGTGTAGCGGTTGTAGCCCTCATAATTTTTTTTATAAGCTTTAATTAAGTATGCTTTATATTATCACTTATCAGGGAGATCTACCTGCAAAGTCACCAGGTTTCTCTTTTGTTACTTCTCTGTGACCTTAATCTATGTTTTTATGTGTACTTTATTTTGTCTACTTCTTTGAACAGTAATGCTTACCACATAAGTGCATCCATAGCTCGACTTACTTTAATGATCTCACACCCTCGCACACATCCTGGTGCGTTCACGTTGCCTTTAAAAGGTAAGAACTAACTTTTTACTTGCCAACAAATAAAACAATTAACCACATGGCTCTTATGATCGCCATTACATAACCTCTGAAGTATTAGTTAGAACTTTTTGTGATTCATTAAAAATAAAGCAAGTCTCTGGAAATAGTTAGTTGGTATATTTTTGTGTCATACTCTTTTTACACCCATAAATTTATTAAAATATTAAATTTAACAAGTAGGCAAAGTAAAGATCCTTATTAAAAGTGCAAGGGGTAAAAAAGCCAAAAACAATTGAGCACGTTATGAAATAATAGAAATATGATATTGAGCACGGAATATCTAACTATGTTGATGATGGCCAAAGAGTATCATCAAACATTGTTGAAATAAAATTTGCTTCACTAACTGATATGATTCACTTGTGATTTAAAAGGACCCCTATGCTGATTTAGTTCTTCTGTTCTTCCAAAATAAGACTGAATAGGCTTATTGCAGTTTGACACCTATCCATTTTTTGACTTCAAAATCTGGCCAGGAACCGTATGAAAAACGTAGTTGCTCCCTTGGGTCTGGGAGCCAATCCCCGACTGAAATCAAATATAGTGCGGCATACATTATTCATAGGACAAATTCTAATATGTTTGTGTTTGATGAGATTGATGATCAAATAAAACACTCACTGTTATAAGCCAAGATGTTTAAAAGCAATGAATTAATATAGCTCCAAGATATAGTGACAGTTATATTGTCAAATTTGTAATACATTCTTATTATAACCTATATTAGTATGGATCACATTAAAAAGTTAGTTTAGTCATACATCATTCTGTATATGTATCTGAGTATCTCTTTTATTGATTTGCAGTTGTAAAAGATAAAACCAGTCCTGTTGAAAAAATTGAAGGGGCCTTAAACCATAAGGTACAAAGAAGAATTGGTGGTTAAAAATTTTTGGCAGTTAGATTTCTGTTGCTTTACTTGATTGCTTTTCAAATCTTTAATTCAGATTTTTTTGATGGTAAACTTCTATCTACCGCTTAGGGTTGCAAGGGAGAATTTTAAAGAATCAGAAAAAACAAAGGAAGCCGGAAGAAAAAAACAACAGAAATGAAAGGTTTGGATTTGGGTGTCTTTACAAAAGTAAAGGGAAATGAACTAACAATGAAGAAGAGGTAAGAACAGATTAGATGACATGTGTTCAAATATATAAGTTGTTGATGATGTGGTGGGTGCAAAGTTGAAGGCCAGCCTTTTCTCTAACAAAATTTAGAACCAAGAAATGAGTCGACATGATAGTGACAAGGATCTGTGTGAAAGGTTTTTTTAGATGTGATTCAGGACAAGGGCACCAGCTATTAAATGAAACTACTGAACCAAGATTTTACAGCACCTATCCATACTAGATGGTTCGATGTCACTGTTTTCATCTCTTCCCAGTCGCACTCTTCTTTCAGCGACTTGCCTAAACTGGCAGCCTTTTCTCTCATTTTCTTCTTTTTCATCACATACGGATCAAAATCTTGTAACCTCGGCCGTGTCAATTGTCAAGCATCACCGCTCAAAGTCACGGTGGAGTCAACTCCGCGCTCTTCTAAACCCTACCACTGGCGTCACACCTTCCCAGGTATCAGAGATCATACTTCAAATCCGCAACAAGCCCCACCTTGCCCTTAGCTTCTTCCTCTTTACCGTCCACCACTCCCTGTGTTCCCATTCCCTCTATTCTTATGCCACCATCATTCACGTGCTCTCTCGCTCTCGCCTCAAGTCCCAAGCATCAGCCTTAATAAAATCTGCTCTCAACAAGTTTCCTGACGCACATTCATCAGACCCACCTCTTCTTTTTGAAGCGCTGGTCAGAACATACAGACAGTGTGATTCTGCTCCATTTGTGTTTGATTTGCTGATCATTGCTTGCTTGGATTCAAGAAGAACTGATCAATCCATTGAGATTCTCAGAGCATTAAAGTCCAAAAATCTCTATCCAAACGTCAGCACCTGCAATTCTCTTGTCAAGTTGGTTTCCAAAACACACGGGTGCTACGCAGGTTATGATATGTACAGAGAGATATTTCTTTGTGGGCAAGAAAATGGGAAGGGGGTTAGACGTGTTACTCCTAATTCATCTACATACAATGTTATAATGCTTGGGTTTCATAGAGAGGGGCTAGTGCATAAGGTGGAGGAGGTTTGGAGGGAAATGGTGAATATGAACTGTAATCCAAATGCATATAGTTACAGCGTGCTTATGTCAGCATTGATTGATGATGGGAGGATGGAGGGTGCGATGAGAATATGGGAGGAGACAGGTGAAAATGGTGTGAAGCAGGACCTAGTTTCTTACAACACTGTCATTGGCGGGCTGTGTCGGGCTGGTGAGATTGAGAGGGCTGAAGAAATTTTCAGAGAGATGGTGATGAGTGGGTTGGAGAGCACATGCACCACTCTTGAACATTTAATCATAGGTCACTGTAAGAGGGAGAATCTTGATTCAGCTCTCCTCTTGTATAAGGATTTATGTCGAAACTGTTTTAAGCCTGAGGTTAAAACAGTAAATGCACTCGTTAGGGTATTTTGCACTAAAGGTAGAGTCTCTGAGGCAATGGAGCTTCTGAGAAGTTTGGTAAAGAAGCATGGTATTGTTCCGATGGAGGAAACATATGAAGCTCTTATAATTGCTTTGTGTCAAGAAGGGAAGATGGAAGAAGCTCTTGGAGTTCAGGTGGAGATGGTGGGAAAAGGATATGAAGCTACTAAGGAAATATATAGCTCTTTCATTGATGGATTCTTGGAACAAGGGAATAATGAAATGGCTGAAAGGTTGAGGAAGGAAATGCTTGATTGTTTGCAACTGGAATCGCCAAATGAATGACAAATACACTCTGTATTATTTGTAAGCTCTTTAGACACTACCAAGTGCAAAGATGCGTGTATTTATCAACATTCCTATAAAGGCCTTCTGCCTTTTAGTGTCTTTGCTCCTTGGGGAGTGTCCAAGTTTGGGAATTCTGAATAGATGAAGGTTTTGGTTTTGAAATGTCCTACACTTTGGTGCTTCCTTGCTAAAGGAATTTTGAGTTAAAAGAGTTCGAATTTGTAAGCTAAGAATTATATAATGGACATCATGCTGCACCAATCTTGAAATTTGATCTGTATATACTGCTCCGTAAATTGAAAGGAAATTTTAATTTTTCTGTTTTGGATATACAAATTTTGATTAGTATAGACTTTAAAGTATATACTAAGAGCTCGTTTGGTATGATGCAAAGTGTAGAGTAGTAAACATTTACACCGTTTGTTTTATTATGACACTAATTAATTAGCGTAAATTGAAAAACATGGGATATGGAGTAATTTCAGCTATAACAACCAATATGGTTGGGTTTTGAAACTTAATGTCATAAAAGGTAAGGCTTTAATTTTAAAAAAGTCTACGGCATTAATGTAGTGGTGAATGGTGATGTTTGATTCTAGGAAAAAACTGAATTGACCGAGTTAATATCAAATTTTCGTATAACCCGGTGGAGAATTTGAATTTTTGACGAAACAGAGTTGCGTTTAGCCTAATACATATTTGGATTAATACTACTTTATTGTACGAAGTATGATACATGAAATGTAGCATACTTCCTCTGTTCTTTTTTAGTTGCAACATTCCCTTTTTTACGCTGGTCGATGCACAACTTTGACCGTCATTATATTTAATTTTCTATTTCTAATTTTTTTTTAAAAATTAGATTATGAAACTTTGTAATGAGATGAATTTAACAATATTTTTCAAAAAAAATAATTCACATACATTAATAAATTAAATAGTCAAAGTAGAGTACATGAATAGTGTGTAATTTACAATGTTGCAACTATTATGATAGTTGCAACATTATTGTAAAACATTATAAATAGATGCTCAAGTGCTCAACTCAAATTTCTTGAGAGTACTAAGGTTATATACTACGTATAATCTATAAATATAGTAAAACATTATAGGATTTAAATAAAAAAACATTATAGTCCAAGGGGGAATCACGAAGGGGATGGATGGGGAAAAAGTAGCATTAAATGTAATAAAGGGGTGATAGAATAATAAGTATCTTGGGCACGTGCTTTTTTGTAGGGTGATTTGTTGAGTGTATCTTGTGGTGAAGTATATTACTCCGTACATATGCATCTGTTTTTACCTCTTCACTTCAGATATCAACCATGATAATTAAAAAGAATAATACTCCGTAACAAACTTCCACCAGGATATATACGCCGTAGTAGATCCGTAACTCATAAACTACTTAAAGCTATCAGCAAGAGAACAAAAGAAGTTTCATCAAGTTCAATCACAAACTAGTATGAATATATCAATAAGTCACCTCTGCCTTTTGTAGACCATCTGAAGCTTCAATTGCAATTCTCCTATCCAAGCAGATGACACCTTTTGATTCCAAACAGCTGTTGAAAATTCACCACCGCTTCTTGCACTTCTTCTAGTAATAGGTAACAAATAATCCCTCTGTCTCCCTATAATTGTCTTATTTTTCCATCTTTGGATGTCCCCTTATTATTGTTTCATACCATATTTGGTAACATTTGGTGTGGCTCTAATTCATTCTTACTTTATTCGAGACAGTAGTGATTAAAAATTATATCGAATTTATGTGCAGGTGTGCATATTATATAAATAAATGCAACAATATGACCATTATTTGTGCAAGAATCGAAGTAGTGTTGTAACAGCACCATTCAGCCTTAATTGCCAATCAACTATCACTACTCAGCTACGAAACTGCTTGGTTTTAGGAAAAATTGCATGCCACCCTAACCTTTTTGGTTAATGTGCTTATTTTGTTGAACAGTTGTGTTTACTTTGATGTATATGGCTTCTATAAAGAAGAAACAAAAGGTTTTTCAGGAGCTGAAGAAAATACATAAGCATGGTCAAGGGTTCATATGCTACTTAGGTTGATCGGGTCAAATGCATAAATGATATCTTAACTATTGGTATTGTTGCTTTTTGGTAGCTTAACTATTAAATGAATCAATTCAGTAGCATAACTAATTAACTATACATAAATGTTTCAACTTGAGATTTTATTCAAATTTGTCGCAAAAAAACCCTTCATGGTGATCAAAATTCCATGTGTAGTCTCAGCCTATAGTGATTATATGGATATAAATAAGGTGAAGTAGACTTTGCGCATAAAATTTCGGCCGCCACGTGTAATTTTTGACCACAAATTTGAATAAAATATCAAATTGAAAGTTAAGGTGTTGTTTTAATTCATTTAAAAGTTAAGGTACCAAAATGCAACAATATCAATAGTTGAGGTACCATTTATGCATTTAACCCTAGTCTAGTCTCTATCTAAGTGCTTTAATTTTGAGTTTACTGATGTAGTACTGCACTTAATGGGAAACTGGTGCCGGTGTCCTCCAAAGTCTAAATTGACAACTTTGTCATAAGTCATAACACTATGAAGTAGTTATGTTCTTCCCTAAACAAGATACTCCGTATTATTATTTTAGTCTATTCTTATTGACGTTTCCATTCTTGCAGATAATGAACTAGGTTGTATTTGAAGCAGGTGTAGACCTTAATGGAAGTAAGATTTTTAAACATAGTACTTGTTTGTTAATTTGTGAATAATCATAACTTAGGTTTTAGTGCATGCCAGAATGAGCTTAGTTTGGTAGAAAACGTACAATTATTTGAAGCACACTGTGCTTGTAAATATGCCTAATTAAAAGAGTTTTTTAGAGTGTTGGAAAAAATCACAATTATTTGAAGCATACTAGATGCTTGAAAATATGCTTAAATGTTTTTTTGGACTATTTTATATGTTATGTATAAGAACTAGGGATACATAACTTGTTAAGGAGCAGCAAGATACTAAGATAGTCCAATAATTACAACAGGGCCATATAATGAAATCTGAGATTATTTTTAACAGAATTAGAAACTAGGAATAATATTATATGTTAGATGAGTCATCACTCATCACAGTTAAGACATTTGTTTATTTGAGAAATTAGTTGATCGATGTCTAAATTTAGTTTACCATGATATTAATCAAATAAGAAAAGTAACTCTTTCCACAACTTTAATAAACCAGACAATGTTGTTTTGAACTCAACAACAATTGAAGGTTTCTCTGTGATTTCAACGAGATGCTTCTCAAGCATAGCTTGACATCAGAAGTCTATTAATGGTAAACTTATTAAATTGAAATCATAGAAGATTGTTGGGACGTAGAAGATTGTTGCAAATCAATCTTGACATGCATGCAATCCACCAGCGAAGAGCTTCACTCCTTTTCTCCGGCGATTTGCGGTGGCATAAAGAGTACTCCTGGGTGTTATCATCTCTTCTTCTAGCATGAGAGCTCGTTTGTTCCTGCAAATGAAAATGACTAGAGAAACAATGGCTCTAGACGCGTCAAGACGCTGTCCTCGATCAATAACAAAATCTTCCCCCAAAATATAACGAGCCCTTCGGCGAGTTTGCCGGACACATAATCTACGAGGATATAATGATATTATACGTAACCCAACAGAGTTGGAAAAAGTGTGTCAAAGCGTAAGTATAGTTCGTAAATGATACTTTGTTCTTCTTATTTTAGTTGTAGCTCACGTAACTCTCTCACTATAAAAGAAGCATGAGAACTACTCTAGTAACTCACTATAAATAATACTACTACGGAGTATTATTTATACTTTGTACTGTATAATATAAAGCAAAGTTTAGGTTGTTGCATTGGGAGTTTTGTGATGATCCACGTATTTAGGAAATATAAGCGGACCACCACACAAAGCTTATGCACGTTGCACATAACTCGTTCAACCCAATTCAAAAAACAATTTAATGGGAAGTGTTCAAAATATTATTCGAACTAATTGTTCAAAAATATTAAATTAAAAACTATTAAAAAAAATTAATTTTGTTTTTTAAAATGCTCTTAAAATTTTTAACAATCCCCCACATCTTTTAAATAAACATTTGAGGTTTTAAAACCATACTTTTTAAATAATTTTGAAAAATTAGCTCGGATAATATTTTGACCACTTCTTAAGAAATTGTTCCGAATTGGGTTGAACGTGCGTAAGCTTTGTGTGGTGCATGGTCCGCTTATATTTCCTAAATACATGGATCATCACAAAACTCCCAACAACCTAAACTTTGCTTTACATAGTATAAATGATAGTTTTTGTGTTTCTGTTCCTCTAGTAAAGTTACGGGAGCTTCATAGAACTAATTAAAATAAGAAGAACAAAGTATCATTTACGAAGTATACTTAATTATGCTTTGACAAACCTTTTCCAACTCTGCTGTAATTATGCTTTGACAAACCTTTTCCAACTCTGCTGTGTTACGTATAATATCCTTATAGATTATATGTCCGTCAAACTCTCCAAAGGGCTCGTTATATCCTTAGAGAATATTTCCGCTCATCGAAAATACTTTTTTGAGGACAACATTTAACGCGTCTTGAGCCATTGTTTCTCTAATTATTTTCGCTTGCAAACTCGAGGTATAACGAGCTCTTCGACGAGTTTGCAGGGCACAAAATCTGTTGGAGATATTCGTCATCGGAACTTGAAGAGTATAAAATTTAATTTATGTAATGCAGCAGTTTTTGTAAAGTGGTCGTATGCATGCATCAAGCTTCGCATATACTCCGTAATGATTATGTACGTAGGTATGTTGCAAAACAAACTGAAGCATTAGCATCCAATTTATAGAATATAATTTAAGTGGTTGGTGATCCTATTAAAAAGGAGAAATTTAAGGTTGGCCAAGTATAAGCATGACATACACGTACACTCACTTAAAAACAATACTCGTTCAACGCATGCAAAAGTCCGGACCGTTACAAGGAAAAGTTAAAGACAATTAATTTATTTCTTTATGATATAAAATGGTCGATAAATGTATAGCCAAAGTTTATGGTTTATTTGAAATACTAAATCATTTTCGAACAGAAGATTCCTCTGCATGATTAGGCCTAGTGACCTTATTTATCATGAAATAATATATAGTATGTACGCGTGGTATTAAGCTTATCAAAAAGCTTAATATTATGATTCCATTAAAATAAATTGTTGATATGATTGATATTTCATAAATATTCATCTACCTGTGGACATTCAAGACATGTATTAAATAGGGAAACTAAAACATAGCAAGGGAAGCTAAATAGGACTCGAAGCTTTTTAACT